GCTGGGAAGGGTCGTACAATAAGTTGGCTCCCTTGCTCAGTGCAATTATGGGGTCAAACCATGGAACTGTTGTTGATTTACAAACAATGTCAACTGATTCACCAACTTCTTTTCAGTTCAAGTATGTATTCTGGTCCTTTAGGGCATCCATAGATGGATTTCACTATTGTCTTCCTGTTATTTCAGTAGATGGAACTCACTTATACGGCAAGTATAAGGGATGTTTATTACTTGCCATGGCAACGACGGGAAATGGTGAAATTTTTCCCCTTGCTTTTTCCATTGTTGATGCTGAAGATGGTCCAAGTTGAAAATGGTTCTTGACGAATGTCATGCGTCATGTCGTTCCCCCACATCGTCGTGTATGCATAATATCTGATAGACACAGTGGGATTGAGCATGCATTTGAAAATGTCCCAGAGTTAGGTGGAGGTCGAGTGACTCGAAGATATTGTCTCCGCCACCTACGCAGCAATTTCTGGAATAAGTTCCGAAGTAAGAAGTTGCGGACCTTGATGTACAAAGCTGGTAAAGCCCCGAATAGAAGTGAGTTTGACCAGTTGCTACTCCAAATAGCATCCAAAAATCAAGAAGCCTACAACTGGCTTAATGCCAATCTAGAACACAAGTGGGCTTTGTCACATGATGAAGGTGGGTCACGTTATGGTATAATGACTACAAATTTCTCAGAAAGTTTCAATCATGTCCTTAAAGGATGTCGTTGTTTGCCAGTATATGCCATTGTGACGTTCACCTATGATAAGCTGGTCAAACTTTTCGCTGAGAGGCGAACCAATGGGTATGTATGGCATCAATCCGGGTACAATTTTTCCTATGAATGTGTGGAAACATATTAGGAAAAATGAAGAAAATAGGTTGTATTGTCGTGTTGTGCAGCACCACGCACAACAAGAGATATACTCTGTGGTGGTGGATGGGTCGTCCTACATTGCTCAACGGGAGACATTTACGGTGAACTTAAATGCACGAACATGTAGCTGTGGTCAATGGGTAACATTTCACTTCCCGTGCAATCATGTCCACGCAGTATGTCATTTTTGTAATGTCACCGTGGATCATTTGATTCCAAATATTTTTTCCATTCAGTCCTACATCAATGCTTACTCTGGCATCATAATGCCGCTACCAGATGAGTCTCAATGGCATACTCCAGAGTACGAGATCTTGAGGCCAACACCACGACAGACCACACAAACCGGCCGACGTACGAGAACCCGCTATCCGAATAACATGGACTATCGACCACGGAGACATCGTAATGAGGAATAGCTTTGTCATGAATTTAAATTATGTCTTAGTTTATGTATTATTAAATTTTACAAATAAGTTAGTCATGGATTGTGTTTTGACTTCTTCTTTTTTATGAATAAATTGTTATATGTACTCTAGCAATAAAATTATTGTGTTTTGTCTTGTTCTTTTAATATCGTTATTTTAATAAAATAAAGTTAGAAAAATTAAAAAAAAACTTTATAAAAATGGATTTAATTTGTTAAAAAGGTTTATAAAAGAGGAGATAAAATAACTAAAAAAATTTAAAAGGGAAAAAAATTGGAACAAAGCAACAAATCAGCTTTTAAAGAAAATTACAAAAAAAAATATATGTGAACGGATTAGGCTAATCCGTTTGGTAATTAAATAAGTGGAACGGATTAGCCTAATCCGTTTGGTTAAATAATCTACATCAAAACGGATTAGGCAAATCCGGTTCGTATTTTGGCGGAAAGTGCACTCCTAAGTCCTAAATTACATATAAAGGAATGAGATGCAACGTTTTTACACAAACAGAGAAATTACCCCAAATTTTACTCATTCCAGTTCTGTTCTCACGGTGAAATCACATCATCGTGTCTGTAGGTGGGTCAAAACTTGCACCATTCCTCAGAAATTTACCAGCTCAGTTTTCAACTGTTCAACCCATTCGGCGTTTGCAAATCAAACTTCAGCAGTCAAATCTTCTAATACCACGAGAATCTTCATCTTCCCCACATCAATACCCGCTAGCTCGATCACATTTCGCGGACTCTTTTCCCAGTTTCACGCTATTGGGATGAGGGTTTTTGTTGGGAAGTGTGGGTCTCATGAATCTTCGCGCACAAGTTAAATCTTGATTTGTGCAAGGGGTTGGATTTTGAGCTTGCATTCTTCGGACCGGCGATTCTCTACTATTCTTGTGGTACCGGAGTCTGTATTCCCTCTTCTTCTTCTTCTTCTTGTTCATGTTCATATTTTAGTTTGGATTGATCTATTGTGTTTCGAAACAAAATCTGGGGAAAACGGAGATACATAAGACCCATAAGTTTTGAGTGTTCGAGATTTAAAAAGAGGGCTCCCTTTCAAATGGGGAAACCTCTGTTTTATGAGATAGTGGAGAAGCCAGCTACAAGTTGTGTCATAGCCATATGCAGTGCAATTTGGTTTTATATACAGAAGAAAAACATTGGGTATTCTCATGTGGGATTGAGCTACGAGACGGCATTGGAAGGCCATCACTGGAGGATAATAACGTCTGCCTTCTCCCACATTAGTGTGATTCATCTTGTTTTCAACATGAGTGCCCTTTGGAGCTTGGGTGTCATTGAGAAGTTAGGGCACTTAGGTCTTGGGATTCAGTATTACCTGCATTATACTCTGGTCTTGGTCATTTTGTCAGGTCTACTAGTCTTGGGAATGTATCATGTTCTTATACAGAGGTTCAAGGTTGATTATTTTCGCAGAGTTACTGCTGTGGGGTATTCATGTGTGGTCTTTGGGTGGATGACAATACTGTCTGTTAAGCAGCCTTCGTCAAAATTGGATCTTTTTGGGTTTCTTTCACTTCCAATAAGTTTCGCACCATTTGAGTCACTCATATTGACCTCAATCATTGTTCCCCAAGCCAGTTTCCTCGGGCACTTGTCAGGAATTGTGGTGGGTTATTCTATTTCCTGGGGGTTGGTCCACGGGATGAACAATTACTGGGCTATATCAATGCTGGGGTGGATAATGGTTGTGTTTGCTTTCAGTTTGAAGAAATCTGGGACACTTGATTTCAACTTTCTTGAGGTTGAGACTGTGACTGATTCTTCATTACCTCCTCTGCGCTTCCTTGCTGCTGGGAGTGGAAGAACTTTACAAATGGCTGCATTACCAGATGCAGGTCCCAACCTTGTATAGCAGCTGGTTTTTTCCCCTGGTCCTGAACTCCATTGTTCTTAAATGATGTAAGCACGTTTTGGATGTCATGTATGTTGAAAGGTTTGCATTTTGAAGTATGTTTATTCTCATATCATCAAGCATTTAGTAACCATTTTGTTCTCTAGGAATTTAAGCACCTCAGGTATGAACACTTCTAGCACTCAGTGTAACTTAATGAACCATTATTTGCTATGTCGTGTTGTGCTTTAGGTGACCGAATGACTTGTCTTCTGTGTTTATAAAGGTTACTTTTTTAATTCTTCACCTTTATACTATGTTTGGTACAAGGATTTTACAAAGGAAAAGGAAAAAAATGACTAGGAAAAAATATGTTGGTGTTTGGTTAGAAAGGAACTAAGGAAGAGGAATGAAAATTAAAAACTACGGAAAATGTAATGTAAAATTGTACACTTCTAAATGTGATTTTCCTTCCATTTTTTCTGAGATAAGGCAAAGAAAAACAACAAACTCCACCTTCGGACCTTCCCTTATCCCTTGTGCCCATTCCCCCACCCACCCAATGCCCACCCTGCCTCTCTCTCTTAAAACAAGTTTTTTTCCATTTTCTTTACAACAATCAAACAAAAATTGCTCGAAAACCATTTCCTCTCCAATTTTCCTACTAACCAAACAAGATTAAGAATTTTGGTTTCTTTTTCTTTCCTTAGCATTTTCCTTCCAAAATTCCCTGAACCAAACATAGTGATAGGGTTTTACTGAAAATTCACAAAAAAAAAAAACATATATATGCAACATAAGGGACAAAACTGATTGGCATGAAAAGCGAGGGGACCAAATTAATCAGAGTACTCTGTTATTATTAGGGGCAAAAAATGCTTTGTCAATGCTTCATTTTGTTTACATCCAAACAGATATAAAAACACACATGTTTGGAACTGGAACACTGAAAACACTTAAGTGTAATCAGAGGGCTAAATCAAATTCCTAAACGTGGACAAAACTAATCATGAACAATCAGCATCAATAACATGACTTGCACATAACTCTTCCAACAAACTTGCAGAACCAGTTTCAAAATATAGTTTTATCAGAAGCCACTTGCAGATGACACTAATGTCAGCTCGTACCAGAGTTTTAAATAGTGTACACCCATCATCCATTAGGTTGTGATTACATATTACCTACAATAAACATGCTGACCTCTGGTAGTGTACAAGAATACCACAACCACAATTGCTCAGGTCAGTTCAAACCTCAGTCTAGTCTAAGTCACAAAGTTACTTCATGTAAGAGGTGAAACAATAGGAATGTCACACTAGTAGTATATTACTCTACAATTACCATAGCTATTGCCATCATGCGCACTGCCATTGCCTCTACCAACTTCCTCTTTTACATAGGAAACATTGGTCTCAACTGAGTACCTCAAAAGATAGTGCACAAACTTAAGAAGTTGCATTTGCATTTGTATGTTTATTATATCCTTCTGATTCTGCAAACACAACCTCACCACTATCTTTGTCCACAACAATGCTGTTGAACAAACCTTCCACTATCGGCTTCCTCAAAAGCAGCCTCTTCTGCACTTCCCCAATGTTTTCTTTATGTTCCTCCCTAGGGTAACTGCAAAAACAACACATGAAGACTGTCTATCAAATATTTAACAAATATCTTTAATCAGTTTTGCTACTTTTATGTACAATATTCCCAATTGGTTTTACTGCCCACCTGTCTACTTAAAAAATTAATAAAAAAAGAAGGTATCTCACTACAGCATAACTGTATGCACAAAAAGTAGTTTTTCATCAACTGACCTTGTATCCAAATAATCAGACAGTTGCTTAAGTTCTTGAATCATGCTTTCTATATCTACACATATAGTTGTGTCTACCCCGCAAGAAGCCAAATCCTTTTCAGACAAATAGTTAGCCACTGCAGTTGTGAACCTTATACATTCATCCAAGTCCTCCTTTAAACCAAATTAAAGGAAAAAAAGAATTTAGTGTCACAAATAGTAAAGGTACAACATTTGAAGACAAGAAAAGGGTGATTGATTCCATGAAAGTTTTTGTATTACCTTTGAATAATGGGATATTGATGCTTCTTCATCTAATACACACCATTTCATTTGCAATGTGCTTTCCTTTTCACTCTTCTTCCCATGGCATCCACTCGGGGTAAGCGAACAACATGACTTCTTCTCAGGCACTTCAACGACTTGACCCCTTTTTGGGAATACCATTTCCATGATGTCCTCTCTACATGAATCTATCTCCAATTGTATGAGAATAACATTGGGAGGACAGACTTTTGGAGTGGTTTCATTCAAGCACAAAAGGAAAACAGGATTTCCTATTGCTTGGAGAGCTTCAGCAACTTTTCCTCTATCCATGAAAGTTTGCATGAAAGCTTGAGTGAATTCTCTCGGTAGCTCGGACAAAATATGGTGCATATTTAACACTTTATTGAGAACATCCAAAGATTCCTCTGAGTTAATGTAGACTGAGCAGAGAATGAGTACCAACCTAAAATCCAGCAACCTATGATAGTCAGGGGTTTTAATTCCTGATTTCTCAATCCACAAACCAGTATCATTTCTCTTGACAAGGAGCTCTTCCACCATGGAGACGATAGACTCATAATAGACATATTTTTTACCATGTGGTAATTCAGTTGAAAAGCTGGGAATCACACAAGTACCAGGTTTTTGATACATCAACCACTCTAGGAAAGAGGACTTTGTTGTGTAAAAGAAGCCACAACTAGAACTGAATACCAAAAACAGGAGACGCTCCATAAGATACAAGAAGCAGTGAGGCGAAATGTAGTCAGACATGTTCTGCCAATTGAATTGATATGTTTTTTGCAAAGCCCAGTTGAAACTTGGAAGCAACTCTCTTGGCTCCTTCACACTCAGAATTTTTATCAGTGCAATCCATTTTGAATTTCTTGGTGTTCTTGCCAAAACTTTATTGCAAACTTCACGGGTAGGTTTGCCAGACCCAAACCATATCATCATCAACCGCCCAGTTTGGCCTAGTGTAAGTTTACGTGTTCTGCGTATATCCCCAATTATAAAATCGTTGAGTAAACTGCATGAAACCTCCGTCCCTCTCAGAAGGATCATGTCTTGATCCATAGACTTTTGGAAATGCAAGGGGAAGACAATGTCAAAGTATTTCATTGAGAGTTCGAAGAACATTTCTACTTTTCCATCATTTTTGTTGCAGTTCAAGCTCATGGAGCTGAGAAAAAACTTTGAGATCTGATATATATTTACAAGGCACAAGCTTTGTCTGAACTGAGACAAGGACTCCACTGAATAATTATAGAGGGATTCAAGAATTTGCATTACCTTAGACCCACAGAGAGCACTTCATTATGCCAGTATCTCTGTGCAGCAGTTATGTAATGTTGCTCATCAATTGAGACCATTTTTTCCATCTGCCTCATGAAAGTCTGACTCGCATTTGTAACCCATTCAGCATCAGGGATTAACAGCGTATAGCTGGCTTTCAGATCAGTGAACATTCGCCTCACACCAAGATAGTTCAAGCAGAAGTTGCCGAAGTCTTTGTATTTTCCAAAATCATGGTTCATCTTAAGACACTTAAGAGACTCAAGAACTTGTAACAAGTTTCCCTTCCATAGATTCCAAAAGTGACACAGAGTTCCAACAGAGAGCTGGTTACTGTACATGGTATCATTTGGGAACTTCAGGTCAACCGGAAACTCATCTTGCCAGGAATAAGCTGGGGCTTCAGTCTCAGTGTGAACATCAATAATCTTTCTAAGACATAAAATTTCACCGCTAAGACTCCCATACTTTCGTGATGCACTTAAAGCACACCTCAATTCACACAAATTTCTTCGCTCATGTTCTAACACCATGGCTTCAGTGCACACAGATTCATAGAAAAGATCAGGTTCGTTCCTGGCAAATGAGCCGGCCTTGTTCAAGAGTTCCTTCTTAGAATCAAAAGACTTCAAGGGCCATGGCTCGCATCCATGCCCCCACAAAGAATTGGCTAGCACATAGGACAGGATTAGTGATGTTGCATTGCAGAAATTTCCAGCTTTACCAAGAAGTTCTGCCTCTACTAAGAGATCTCCCTTCAGTTTTGCAAGTTCTGCAACTTCAACAAAGTTTCCCGTTTCTTCTTCAAGCAAAAACAACTCATCCATACAATTCCTAGTTTTCAAGAACTGGCGCTTATCATCCATTAACCTAAAAGCTTTGACGAACTTCATCATTGATGTCCTAGCATTCCACTGGAAGTAATTAGATGCACAACTCTCAAGAAATTCCTGTTTGATTCTGTCTATTTCTTTCCCTCTATCATCTTTACCATTATACTGGACACCAGGTTTCCAGTTTTCTACAAATTTAAATCCCTTTTCATAGAGGTGCCCTTTGCTGCAAACTGCTAAACACTTTGACAGACAGTTTTGCTTTGCGTATATCTCTGCTGCAGTCTCGTAACATCCTGCCAATGTGAAACACTCTGCCACTTGCATTTGTGCATGCTCACCACATTTTTTCAAATAAATCTCTCCTGTAGCATAAAAACACGTCAAGGCTGGCCATTAGAATTCTTGTAGAGATTCGATCAAATAAGCACACACAGGAATATATATACCTGCCCTCACAAATTCCCTTAAGTCACAAAAACATTCAGCTGCAGACTGAAACTTTCCTATAGACTCAAATATTTCAGCCGCTTCCCAAAGGTAGGTACAAGACAGCTTCGGATTCGATTCCTGCAATCGGTCAGCAGCATTCCTAAGCTTGCAAGCTTTAGCTTGTTTTTCTAAGGCCCTCTCTCCCGCCCTTTCAAAACAGATGATAGCCATTTCATAGTTCTTCTCCCAAAGGAGCTGCAAAATAGCATAAATTCAACTACCATTAGGTCCATTAGATAACAGACATCAAGAATGGTAAAAATCCATCTTAGCTAAAAAAAAGAAGGAAACCAAGAATCCAAGGTATACTGACTTTTATTCCCCTATCCTTCCACTGCTCTGGAGTGCTTGCCTTGCGCATAGCTCGCACAAAAGAATCATCAAGATCTCTCACTTCCACGAGGCCCATTTTTTCCCAATATTCAAACATAGGTTTTGAAAACTCTTCAACACTTTCACAGATCCATAATCTTTGTCTTGTCCTCGTTATTGCCACATATAGCTGCTTCAACTCAGAACACAAAACAGCATGCCTTTCTTCAGTAAAACATGGAAAGCTCTCCAAAAATCTCATGTCAACCAGTTCTAGACGTTTGGTGCTCATAAAATCATATACCACTCTCCACTGATTTCCGAGTGGCGAAGAACCAAAGAAGTTGTAAAGTAGTACATCCTACAAAAACAAAATACCAATGCTCAGACAATTTAGCAGAAATTAACATAAAACATAAAGTAAAAGCTTTACAAATATCTTCAACATACTGTAAATGAAAGTGAAGCCTTTATTTATAACTTACTTGGAACTCCAATCCTTTGGATTCAAGTATAGTTAGAACAAGTGCTTGCTTCCCAGCAAGATCAGCAACTTCCTTCTTAACAAACTCATCACGTACCAATATGACTTGCTCGGCTCCAAAGCCTGCCACTTTCGAGCTAATGCCCACACTGTTACCCAAGACAGTTGCAATAGCATTTTCATTGCTCCCATGTCTCAGGAGTACTGGAGCCTCACCATATATTAGGCTAGTCTCTGGTGCCAAAGCATCAATAGATAGAGGGAAATAGTGATAAAGAATATCAATCACACTTTGGGCAAGCTTAAGAACACCAGCATGTGTACGAAAGTTCTGCAGTAAACAAGACACCTTGGCTATGTGGCCTTTTTCTGTGACATGCATACCCCATTTCTGTTTCATGACAAACTCCTCATAGAACAAAGTTCGGATATCTTCAAACCTAAAATCCACCCCCTTAGCAATGGTCTGGGCTGTATCCCCAGAAAATATGAAGCCTTCATCAACATTTTGACAAACATACTTGAACAGTAAAATCTGTCTCATAGTGAGATCTTGAACCTCATCAATATACACAAAGTCCAATTTGTCACCCTCCCAGTTTTCCTCATTCAACTGTAGATGGATATCATTCACTAAATCAGCGAAATCAAATTCACCTCTTTTCTTCTTCATTTTTTCATAATCCAGAAAGATATCATAAATTGCCTCCCTCTTCTTTTCATTCAAAGTCGAAATCCTTTTATCAGACATTGAAATATATTTGTCACGGCTGAGTTTTGCATCACTTTCCTCACACGCTTGGAATGCCCCTTTTATATGTGAAATGATTTCAGTAAACACCTTTGAAACATCAAGATTCTTTGTCAACTGGGAGTTAAAGCGAGGCCAATACAAGCAACAAAAGCGGTCAAAATTAACCTCTTTTCTTTTTATGAGAGCTTCCACAGTGACTGAACTAGATATATCCAGAGAGAGTGTGTTTTTGTCTTGGAAATGGTTGAAGTATGAAGATCCTACTGTCCCATCCAGCATCATCAAGAACTTCCGAAATGTTATGACAAGGGGATATTTTTTCTCTGGAATGGAAACAAAAGTATTTGGAATGTCTTTAAAATGGGACAGTCCATCCAAATCATCCACCATATCCATCAAGCTACCATAGTCATCAGAGAATTTCTTACCTTGTGCAAAGCTGCAGGCACAAGAAAGTATCTTTTTCAAACACAACTCTTTGTTATGGAGGCAGTAGAACATCCCTTTCAAAAAAAATCCTCGTTTCATCTAGCTGCACCTTAATTTAAGAAGATGTAACTATTTGGAATCACCAATCCTACTTACATTTTTAAATGTTTTTCTTATGGTAACACATTTAAATTGCTTGATACTTCTTTAACATAATACGGAGCAGATTATTTTAAATGAAAATTAGCTTCTTTTGTCAAAAAATGACTTCTTATGGGACAAACCAAGCTTATAAAGCAGACTTTATTTAGGTGTTATGGAACATGACAGAGGACTAATTCTTTCAGACTTCATGATACTATGAAAGTAAATAATGCATCAAAGTACATTGTCACTCAGCAAGCTGTAAGTGGAGCATATAAGTAAATATATATGATTGTTGGAGCTTACCATTTCAAATGAGAAACGTGTTGTTTAACAGCATAGCAAAGCTTTGGACTAACGGTAACAAACAACTGCCTTAAGGTATTTGTCTTGGTGTCAACTTCAGATTGACTACTTGTAATCTCAGCTCTTGAAAACCTACTTTTTCCTGTATACTTGCTTATCTCATTATTATCTGTTGTGATGCCCTCCAAGGCAAGATGATGTTGTTGCTCCTTTTGAAACATTTTCATTGTCAAAACAGTTGTTTTTCCTGTTCCCGACCTCCCCAGTATGAAACTGCTCTTTTCAAACATAATGATCTCCCTCTCCTCATCGGACACTTCAAAAGGGATATCAATTTCTTCTCCAAGGTTGTCAGAGAGCAAATGATTGGCAATGCCAGATGATAAGGAGTAAAACTTCATCAAGAGTAAGCTTTCACTCACTCTTGAAGTTTCAATGTAACCTCCACCATCCACCCCACTGTCATTCAAGCCTTTTGCAAATCTTTCATTAAGATTCTTGAACCTTACCAAATCAAAAGATGCTGGCCAAACTATAGGAACTTCCAAGTCACTGGGACAAAAAAAAAAGTAATTTAGAAGAGTTGTTTTTTTCTTTAATCAATTAATTCTCACAGTAATAGGATTTGCAGGAAACGACATACCCATGCTGGCATTTCTGCTTGCACAAATTAATAAAATCTTCAGTATAAGTAGCGAATATGCTTTCAAGGCGTCCCAATAATCTTTCAACCTTGTCTAAGGGCAATAAATCCCATGCCTTTAAAATTTGACTGTACCGCAACTCCTTCTGGATGTCAACAGTGCATATTATGTACTGCCCTTCAACATTAAACTGTTTTATAATGTGTGAAGACCTGTTACAGTTCCGGTCCATGCTTTTTCTCTTGGGTCTCCATCCACTAGCCAGCTTAAGTAGAAGAGTTAGCACTGCTTTTTTAAGATGGGATGACACCAACTTTTTAAATGATCTTTTGAAATCTTCGCTCAATAGAACCTAAGAACATAATGGGAAAAAAATAACTTGACATTATAAACGGCATTCTTATTACAAACAAAAACCATTGACCATGAACAAAATGGTGCAAAGATGGGTACGAAAAAACATTCAATTTACTTCTGCTTAACAACCCACTTCTCCCCAAAGTTAGAACTTCAACCTTTTAAACTGCCCTCTAATTTACAGAAAAAGACATTTTCCTGGAAACAATTTTCAAAAGGTCATTAAATTGAACAGAATACCCAAAATGCTAAGGAATTCACATCTACCATGGGCTAGCAACTAAGCAAAGATTAGTCTTAAGCTGGATAGAAGCAAAACAACAAAACAAATCATTTTACCTTCCACCTCTGATTTTTGAACAAGATGCTATCAGCATTAAGCAAATCCTCAAGTTGATTCAGTTCTGTTTTTACATCCAAAAAAGTTTTTGACAGATCACTATCCTCAGAAGCAGAGAAGAGGCACTGGCGCTGCTTTGCATTTAGAACTAAACCTTCCCACTCTGAATGACTATTCTCTAGTGTCATTTCATTTCCCAGAATCCATAAACAGTGTCTAGAAGAAATCGAAGAAATGATTACTAAACAATTAGGTAACATCACTCTCAAATGTGATCAGAATAGAATAAGAGACATACCGGGCTCTGGTCAGGGCAACATTTGTTCTTTGCAAATTGGACATAAAACCAATAGTGCCATCACGATTAGATCTCACAGTGGATAATATTATAATATCCTCTTCACCACCTTGGAAACTATCAATAGACTTCACCTTAATTGCAAAGCCATTCAGGTTGTCATACCTTTTGCCAATTTTTTCTTTGATAGCAACTACTTGAGCAGCGTATGGAGATATAACACCAATGCTAAGTTCATTTCTCGTGTTACGCCAATCTGGGAAAATAATGTTTTCAAAAGAAGTTAGATTACACACACTTAAGAAAAACAAAGTGAACCAAAAGCAAGGTTAAAATACTGTATAGGTGATCCCAAACCCATGGTAAAGAACCAGAACCAAAGAATACTCACATCGGTACAAGTTTTGCACTATCTTAAGTACTAAAGCAACCTCAACCATATTCCTTCTGCTATGGCCGAAACCATCCAATTCTTCTTTTCCATTGGGGACACTAATAAATGAATATGGTCCAAACATTCTTCCTTGAAGATACTGCCTCTCATAGGTTTTGTTCTGCACATTTGGAGCATCCATGACTTGCTGGTTATAGAAACTCAGATTTGGGAAGTGGCTTATTGCTGGATGCATTCGATACTGCATATTCAGCACGAGCTTTGAATGGCCCAATGAACTTAACCTTTCAAATAAGCTTCTTCCAAATCCAGCTTCAGAAGACACCTATTAGCAACATTTTTCATCTTAGTAGATGATACTGCGAAAAAGCTATCATTTCTTAAAACATTAATGAGATGTAAAAAGAACAAACCACTCACTTTGCTATGCACAATCGCAGGTAATTGGCATTCATCACCTACAAGAATTGCATGCTTCAGGCCTTGTAGCTGAAGCGGTATGATAGATTCGCATTCCCTCAACTGGGCTGCTTCGTCTATGACCAACAAACTGAATGGTTTGATCTCAAATGAGTGCATCTTATAAGAGCTTGAAGAGGTACAGAAAACCAAAGATGATAGGTTCAAGCAGAACTCCGTTATCGATGTTTTTGTTATTGCATTGGGAAATTGAAGTCCCCCAAGAGAATGTAGAATGGATTTCAGAATGGAGAGGATCTTTTTTCTCAAGTAGGCCAAAGGTGTATTTAGAGTTGACCCAAATGAAGCTTGGGAGTGTACAGGTTGTGAAAAAATTTCCTTCAGTTGTTCAGATGTGATAGGCTTCTGATACAAAGTATGTTTCATGGAATCAAGAAGGTGGACCAAGGAAAGGATATCTTGGAAAGTCTTTTCAAGAATGAAATGCCTTGGCAAATGAGTACACATTGTAAGCATGCATCGTCTCAGGGGTGAAACGACAACCTCAAACTGAGATTTAATAAATTCAGCAAAGGATTTAGGTTCTGAACTGCCCTTCAAGGTTTCTCCTTTCACAATCAGCTCTCTCATTTTTATTAGTTCAGTTTCCACAAAGATTTCATGCTCAGAAACAGGATACCCAAAAAAACAGATTGCAGAATCAACGCAGTGTCTCCAATCTTTCAAACACTCAAGAAGCCTTTCAACACGATATTCTAGATAGGATTCCTCAAAATCTTTGCCCAGCTTCAATCTATCATTCTCTCCAAATATGAGCACATCACCCAAGGGATATATCAAATTCTTCTTTGAAGATTCATCTTTAAGGGACTCTTGGATCAGCTTTATCACCCGTGTGGCAACTTGCAAAATTGCCACATTTGTTGGAGCGCAAACAAGTGTTCTGCACTAGTTCCTTTGACAGACCATAAACAAAAGTGTACTAATAGTAGTCGTCTTCCCCGTACCCGGAGGGCCCCATATAAGATCAACATGGGAACATTGAACACATTCAGCTCTTCTCAAACAGGTGCGCACCGCCTTAACTTGTGACTCATTCAGCTTGGATAGCATCTTGGCTTCTGTCTTCTGAGCTAATGATCCAATGGTGCAGGTACAAGATTCTCTCCCAGTCTAATCATCAATGTCAAAATAGCACACCAATCAAAACCATAACAACATAAAATGAGAAATCTTTCCCATTTCTCAACATAAAAGCAACAATACATGACTAACCTCATCACTAGTGTACAAAACAGCATGAATGATGTTGGACTTCCTGGGCAAACACAAAGCATTCCAAATCCGTTTGCTTGTTGTGATGTTGTCTAAGAAAACAATGTGGACTGAAGAATGGACTCCAATTTTGGCTCCAAAGTCTACTGCCATTTTCACTCTGAACTCAGTAAAGGACACTCCATCATCATCATCATCATCAGTGACACTAACAACTGAAGCAAGTGCCCAATTTCATCCCGTGCGGTCCAAATCAGAAACCGTCTCCGGTTTATGATCCGATATTAGCACCAAGTCTCCAGGTAAGGTTTTGTAAGGTTCTTCATCCTCACTAACTCTTATCCTCCAAAACTCAACCTTGGCATTATAATAATGCATACCCTTCCCATGCCCTTTTGTAGCTTCAAAAGAGACGACTTCAGCAAATGGCGCCTTATCCATTGCTTCCATAGAAGAAGCAACAATTTCCCGGGTTTCTTCCAACAAAGGAAATGTATAACAGCAGAGGTAATGGTCCATCGAACGAAATGTACGCGGAATCCTCTCAACCTAGCAGTAAGAATTTAAGAGTGGAAGGAAAACAAAGTTTAACAACATATGAAACAATGTATGAAACTGTTAAATTTGTGGAGATACAGGGCAATTCGAAGAGCAAGGTAGATATGAATCAAACCTGGGACTGGTAGAGGTTGTCATTAAAAATGTCTTCAAGAGACCAGGAGAAGACTATATCAGTGAGTTTGTCATTCTTATTAGGCTGAAATTCAGTCTTCACAAAAGAAGAAGAAGAAGAAGAAGAAGAAGAAGAGGATCCCATTTTGGTGTTCACCAAAATAAAAAGAAAAAAAAGAAAACTGAATTTGAACAGGTGATGAAAGTGTTACTAACTGGAAATGATATGATAGATCACAATTCACAAGTAGAAGAAGATTTATATAATTAATGGAGGATAAAAAAGATCCCACAAATTTGATCAACTAAAGAGGATACATCATTTATATGTGTGCATATATACAGGCCGGGAGTATGTAAAAGCAGTGGCGGATCCAGAAATTGAAGTAGATGGGGGCATCATTGATCGGTAGTCTAGAAGCGTCGCTACATTTTTTGATAAACTATTTGAAATGACAAAAAATAACAAGTCTTATTTCAAATATTTATTAAATGTAAAATATTTTTTAATATGTAAAGTGAAATTTTATTTTATAAACAATTACGGAGTAATTTTATACAATAAAATACTCTTTACTAAAAAAATTAAACAAAAAATTTAAATTTGACCAAATTAGATAAGATCACATTAATTTTTTGTTGGGGGCATATGTATATAAAATTTTAAAAAATAATATTTTTAACCTTATCACAAGAAATTAGTTGGGGGCATTTGCCCCCTACTCTTCCTTAGTGGATCCGCCACTGTGTAAAAGGTGCATGGTGCTGTTATATTCTGCCTTCATGTCTCTAAAAATTAAACGTCATCAAAAATATTACTCCGTATTATTTTTTGTAAGGTTTCAAATGCAATATTATGATCATTAATGTCTTGATTTATATATAGATATATATTACTCTGTATACAAATATGATATTTCAAAACAAGATTTTAAGATAAACTCATTGATACTAAATTTATATCACAATTTGATATATTTTTTCATAATGTGATTAAAGTTTTAAAAAATTGGCTGTGCAAGTCAAGATAGGAATAACGAAGAGGAATGCAGGGAGTACTTTTTACGAGCCGTATGTTTGGACTTGAATTGGGTGAAGAGAAAGTGGAGAGAAAGAAAATGGGTGAAGAGAAAACACGGAGCGCATTAATTTTATCTTGTTTGGATAGGGAAGAAAAGGAAGAAAAAAAGTCATGGGACAAAAAAAACTTTTGTCACGACAATAGAATATCTTCTATTTTTCTTTCTTTTCTTTTTCGAGTAATGTTAGATGCACACCAAGTTGCACACCACTCTTCACCTGTAACGTTGCATTTTTTTCATTTTTGTTCTTTTTTTTAAAATACATTTTCTTCACATTTTATATTTATTCTCCTTTTTTTTTACTCTTTGGAAATGATAATGAAATTTATGGATGTGCATGCATATATGCATGGCTTGTTTCACATGTCCCATTCCCAAAGAGCTTATAATGATGAAAACCGAGCGCAGCTCCACACTTACACCGGAGTAATAATTACACAGTGACCAATATACCTGGAGTAATAATTACTCCCTCCGTCCCATTTTATAATGCCTGTTTCGGTTTACGACTTACACCGGAGTAATAATTACACAGTGACCAATATACCCTGGAGTAATAATTACTTCTTAATCTCCTAAATACGGAGTATATTTAATTAACTAATTAATGCCAGCAGCCATTATATATATGTTGAGACGATCAAGAGGTGTTTAAATTAATTGCAAGCAATCATCAATTAACACCCACTTCAAAACTCGGCCGGTCGTTTCAACTCCAATCCGGAGTACGTGGACTACAAATTTAATTTGGGAGCAAAAATACTTTCACGGTCATCACGTCCATTCTAATTATATGGATCTTGCTAATGTTGATTCTTTAGTATTAGGATTGGATTAAGCTTGGATGGATTATGTTTTTTTTCACATTAACCCCATGTTTGGATGGGGTGATTTTAGAGAGAAAGAAAATGGAAGGGAAGAAAACACAATTTCCAATAAAATTTCACTTATTTGTTTACGGAAGAAAATGGGGGAAGGAAAGAAATTGTCAAAGGTGCCAACCTAAAACTTTTCCCCTATCAAGTGGCGAGAAAATCCACCCATTGAAGAGAAAATGCATGAATTGACTGTTTTGCCCTTCATTCCATCATACTCCCTCCGTCCAAAAAAGAACTTCCCACTTTCCTTTTTGGTCCGTCTACAAAAAAACTTCTCGTTTCCTTTTTTGGAAACTTTTTGTAAATGAAATGTCAATTGTGCCCTTATCCAATTCTTCTTCTCCCTTTCTTCTTTCTTCCGTTTTTCTTTCTTTTTCTCCTTCTTCATTCTTTTTCTTCTTCCTTCTCCTGCATTCTTCTTCCGCATCTTCTTTCTTTATTGTTTTATTTTCTTCCTTCTTCCTTCTTCTTCTTATGCTTTCTTCTTCCGTCTTCTTCTTCTTCTTTCTTCATTTTTTTCTTTTTTTTTCTTACTTCTTCTTTCATCAACTAAAAGAAGAAATATTTTTTCAGATCTCTGGGTTGCATCTTCACCAGATCTAGATTTGCAGTGATAATATTTTTAATTTTTTCCAGATCTGTGGTGGAATTTTGATTTTCCTCAACGAGAAGTCTCAAAACAGATCTTTTCGAGAGATTTGGATTGCAGGTATGCGACGGCGATGGATGTGGATTGCGACGGAGAGAGGATGCTGGGAGCTGCGATGGAAGGG